GTCAACTCTAAGGGCAACCTTCCTAGCAATTGAGTAGTAACTTACAACCCTCTTAGCTTCATCAAGGTTCTTAAAACTCATACCTTTTTCCAACTCTTTAAAGTTGTCAAGTTGATCATTAATTTCTCTTTTCTTTTCCAACCTAAAGGATTCCAATTCTTCACTATTGTAGTCACTTGGATAAGGTTCATTTTCATCATTTTCTTCCTCACTTGATTCACCTTCAGTTGCAACATCTATTCCATCATTCACTATGACTAGATTAGGTTCATTCAATGTGACTAGATTAGGTTCATTTTCATCATCTTCTTCCTGACTTGATTCACCTTCAGTAGCAACATCTACTGTGACTAGGTATGGTTCATCATTGTGGCTGATGTCAATAGCTGGAACAACATCATCCCCCTCATCTACAACAAATAATTCAAGTACACCAGACTTAATAGACATTGCTGTCTGTATTGTTCTTATGCCAGAATCCCCCTCAATCAAATAATACCTCCCAGAAGGTCCTTTGAGTAGAAGTTGTTGGACCTTACTAAAACCTAACTTTTCATGGAACTTTTCACATATGTCTATATATGACAATAAATCTGGATCATACTCCTTCCAAACATGAGTGAATTTTTTAATGTAAATAACATTAGGTGTCAGTACCCACTTGCCCCCATAATAGAATAATAGGTCCACCTTGTCAACCATTATTCAAGAAAAGGACATTATAGACAACAACAAAAAAAAGAGAAAAGGGCCATATTAGACAACAACAAAATATTTTAAAAAACAGAGGAATCTACCAAGAGTAAAAGAATAGGGACCACATGCTTCAAAGTAAAACTTTACATACGCAAAAATATATAATATAATACCTAAAATCTAAAAAAATGGACCATTTAATAATAAAATAATTCATACCTAACAATAGTAAAGGCATATCTGACTAACATAAATTGAAAATTATTATGAAATACAGGGAGAAACGATGAGTAAAGGCAGAAAAGAACAAACTTGAGACAACAATAAAAAAATCCTACTCAAAATCAACATAATAACACACAACACTAACATAAATAGACAACACTAAACAACATTGTAGTATCACCATAAGTAATTGTCAAAAAAGCATAGAATACACGAAAAATTAACATAAATAGAAATTGATTCTCAAAACAAGTAACATCGATTAAAACCTAAATCCTAACTGAAATTTCGAAGTGCACAAAAGTTCTTACTTGAGTTCAAGTCGAGATTGTGAACGAATTTTCTTCAAGTTGCAAAATGAAGAAGAAGAAGAAGAAGAAGAAGACAACCTTGAGCTTGGGTTTGTGAAAATTGGATGAATAAAGTTTTAGGGTTTTTTAGTTAGATGGGTTTTTTAAAATTGGGTAAGTGGGGCGGGTTTAGGCGGGTTTGGGTGGGTAATGGGTGGGTTTTAATTATTTTAAATAATTAAATTACAACGAATGGTTGAGTGTCACGTAATTAAAAATTATAATTTTTTTTTTAATTTTGGTCCGTTAATGAAGGGGTAAATTTGGACCCAAAGGTGGATGTGAAGGGTATTTGGGGGCTAATAGGTGGATGGGGGTAATTGTGTACCATTTTCAATACTTCAAGGGTATTTTAGGCCCTTTTCCAAAAAATTAATTTGAGATACAGAAGTACCTTTTTTTTCTCATTAATAGGAGTTTTCATTAAAATTAAATTTTTTTATATTATGATTGAATATTTTTAAGATGTTATTTGGTCGGAGGTTTAGTTTAAAAAATTATAGTATCAATTTTTTTTTAGTTCTTTTCTTTCTTTTGACTTAAATTGGGTTGTGGCTTTCCACATACATATACATGCTTGATTATGCGAACCATAACATAATCTTTTGGCTTAAGTCATATGCGGTCCTTAAAGTTGTTTGCATAATTCACTTAGACATCTCAACTAGGACTATTACCTATTAGACATTTTAATATTAAAGAATATGTATCTATTGAACATAAAACAAAAACTTTTTTTAAAAATATTTTGCGCGTAATTCACGCGCATTAACTTAAAAAAATGACGAATAAAATTATGAGACTTGGCACATGGGCCAATCTAGCAATAAAATATAATTTTTTAATTTGAAAAAATGAAAAATAGTTTCCCTTTATTTATTAATCACAAAAATATTTAAATAGAAAATCTCCCTCACCCCCACCTAACCCTTTGACCTTTCTTCTTCCTCTACCCAGTGAATCCCGGCAGCCACCATTGATAACGGAGATAACAAAAATAAAAATCTCCCATTCAAATTTATTTTCCTATCATCTGTTATTCTCCATTCGTTTTGAGATTTTTGTGAAAATAAATAAACGTCAATAAATTATTTTTAAGATTCATGACCAAGAAAAATTGAAAGTATGTTGAATTTTTTATCATCTTTAATAAATTAATGAGTGGTGATGTTTGTTCAATCGGAGTGATCAAAATAGAGATAGACGAATATCGATCAATTTTTAACTCTAATGTTCGAATTTTTCTTCTTCTCACATATTAAATTAGCAGATTTTTTTTTACAAAAAATGAAAAAAAAAAAGAATGAAACAAAATGCTAAGAATTTTGGAACCATTAGAATAGTGGTGGAAGAAGATAACTACTGATGCTAAGAATTTTGAAATCTTTAGAATAGTGGGGGAAGAAGATAACCACTAGTGCATGGGTATTGAGGTTGGGGTGGGTGGGGTGGGGTTGATAGAAATAGGGAAGAAGAAGACAACTTTCTTCTTCTTTTTTGTTAATTATTTTTTTTTAAAATTAACTTAGGGGTATAAATTAAGAAAAAAAAGGGAAAATATTATTTTTAATAAATTAACACGCTCAAGGAAAGTGAATTACACGTTTTTTGCCATGTCAACATTTTGTGTGTAATAGGATTGACTTTTGAACAAATAAAGTCTTCACTTGGCACAAAGATTAGTTCAGGAGTCTAAATGAATTACGCGGACAACTTTGAGTGGCTGGACATGACTTAAGGCTATTCTTTTTTTTTTAATAAAGTGGCCTGTTGGCCTTTGGAATTAAAAAAAAGGATTAAGTCATCTGCAGCTACTCAAAGTTGTCCGCATAATTCATTTAGACACCTCAACTAATCCTTGTGCCAATTGAACACTTTATTTGTTCAAAAGTCATTCCTATTAGACACAAAATGTTGATACGGAAAAAAACGTGTAATTCAATTTCCTTGAGTGCGTTAATTTATTAAAAATAATATTTTTCCTTTTTTTTTCTTAATTTATCCCCTAAGTTAATTTTTAAAAAAGTTAATTAACAAAAAAGAAGAAGGATAGTTGTCTTCTTCCCTCTTTCTATCATATTATTCTTTCACCATTTTTATCTCTTTTTTTTACACAACTTTCTCTCACCCTCATTGTTCTTTCCTGTTTTCCTCTATTTTCTTATATCGATTTTCATCTGAAATATCTCGAAAGAGTTTCATTTACAATGATAAAAAAAATATGAATAGATTTTTTTGGGCAAAAGTCTGTTAATTTTTTTCAATTCTAATAAATAATTTCTAATGTATAAAAGATGAAAATAATGAATGAAAAATTTTAATGCTATCGAAATGAAAGAGAATGCATATTTAGCTTGAATAGACAACAATGGTGTGTCATTGTAGCTCCATGGAAGAGAAGAAAGAGATGGAGCGACATCAACTCCATGGGAAATCAGAAATGGGTATTTGTGAAGAAGGAGGAAGAAAGTGGGGAGGGTGGAGGCTTTGATTAAAAATATATTTTTTTTTAATTTTTAAAAATACTTTATGAATTAATTATATAGAGGTTTTAAAAAAAAATTAAATGTAATGCCACATGACATCATATTATTGGTAAAATTAATATGAATTCGCGTTTGAGATACACGCATTTTTATTTTTTAATTGATTGTCAGTTTGTGTCAAATAGGTATAAATTTTTTAAGGTTTGAATATTCAATAAGTACATTCCTTAGTTGAGATATTTAAGTGAAATATGAGAACAACTTTAAGTGGCTATGACTTAGGCAAAAAAAAAACTTATACTTTCAAAAAAATGAAAATTGTTTATATGAGTATATATAATTTTTTAAAATTAATTTTTCATTTTAATTGATTGATCTTATTTGTTTTGCACAGAGTTATAATAAAGAAGACTTTTGAACAGACATATTTCAAATATTATGTATTTCTTTTAATTTTGTGTCTTATACATTCTATGTAAAAAAAAAATGGAATTAAGATGTTAAAAATGAATTATAATATTTTTCTAAAAGAGATGAACTAAAAAGTAAGTAGAACAACTAAGTTGAAAAAAATAGTCTATTCGAATTTTATCAAAGGTATAATAATAAAAAATAAACATTTTCCTTAGTAAAATTTCAACAAAATGTATCGTAAAATTAAAAACGTAGAATAGTATAGCTAATTTTTTTTTTATGTTACAACAAAGGAAATTGTATAATAATATATAATGATTTAAATTGCACAACTAAAAATTTTTATAATTATTTTTTAAATTTTTTTGACAATTAAATAATAAAATTATAATTACTTAAATTTTGAAATTTAATTTGATATTTGATATTCAAATAAAAATCATAATATTTTGATGCTACAAACCTTATTAAACTAAGATTTTAATTTTTTTTGTTTGTTTGACCCAATCCATTTTAAATTTTGACCCTGTTAACCTTATTTGCATTGGAAGCAATTCCCAAATCAACACTCAAAAATTAAAGCCCTCACCGGCCACAACCTCCAGCCCCTCTCTTCTCTGTTCACTAACAGCGTCTCAGCGACAGTGGCGCAGTGCGAACGGAGCAGCAAGACTCTCGTCCGACGTTTCTCAGTCTCTCAGCGGGAAGACTGTAAGCATTCTTTGTTTTATATTTTTGGTTTTAAAAAACTTGATTCTAATTTCCCTATGATAAGGTGTTCATGCTTTTGCTTCGATTATTGATTTTTAGCATGTATTTTTCAGTCTCTCGCTCTCTCTTCTCTACCGATACCAAACCAGCAAGCACTCTTTACTGTCTCTGTTTTCCTTCCGTTTGTGATTTCATAGACTGCTATAAATTTCTAAACATCTGCATAAAGGATAAATTATGTGAAAATTAGCAAGTTCCAACTATCATTTGTCCTTATATGCTCGAATTAAACATGGTAAGGTTGTGCTTTCTTTTGGTGTGTGTTTCTCCCTCCTATGTAAAATATTCATTTAGAGTCGTTTCGTAGAATGTATTATAAAAAATAATGCATGCATTAAGTTTGTGAATTAGTCGTGTCTTTTTTGGTATACTTTTTCATGCCATATATACAGCCTATTGTGTGTTACTAAGAATTTCTAGGTATTAATAATGCAAAGAGATTTAATATATGGTTAAGGATCCAATTACCCCTCAAAATTCCTTTTACATCTTTTCCACCATAATTATGGAGTATATTTTTATAAATAAATATTTTTATGCAATCCATGCTTTTTTAATACATCGAACCAAATAATGTATAAAAAAGGGGGAAATTTCACATAGAGTCACTTAAAAATAATTAATTACTCTCCATAACTATAGTTTGATAATTTCAATTTGTAGCTACATGTTATATGGAGGAGAGAGGCGAGCAAGACTGGGAGAGAGAGGAGAGAAGGGAAAAGAGGGGAGAAAGATGAATTGTATATGTATATTGGTTAGATAATTCTATATTATACATATGTATTTGTATGTATGGCAAGAGAGATTGGGAGAGGGAGGAGAGACGTGAGCGAGACTGGGAGAGAGAGGAGAGAGGGGGAAAAGTATATTATACATATGTATTTGTATATGTGGCAAGAGAGGTTGGGAGAGGGAGGAGAGAGGCGAACGAGACTGGGAGAGAGGGGGAAAGAGTGGGAGAAAGGTGAATTATATTATATATATATATATTGGTTAGATAATTGTATATTATACATATATATTTGTATATATGACAAGAGAGATTGGGAGAGGGAGGAGAGAGGCGAGTGAGACTGACAGAGGTAATTGTATATTATACATATATATCCGTACATATGTCAAGAGAGATTGGGAGAGGAAGGAGAGAGGCGAGCGAGACTAGGAGAGAGAGAAGAGAGGCGAGTGAGACTGGGAGAGGGAGGAGAAGAGGCAAGCAAGATTGAGAGAGGGAGGAGAGAGGCGGGCGAGAGAGGGCAGAGAGTGGGAGAGAGGTGAATTTTATATAATTGTGTTTATACATATGCATTTGTATAAATGGCAAGCGAGATTAGGAGAGGGAGGAGAGAGGCGAGAAAGATTGAGAGAGGGAGGAGAGAAGCGAGCGAGAGAGGGCAGAGAGTGTGAGAGAGATGGATTTTATATGTATAGGATAAATAATTGCATATTTATCCATATGTATTTGTATATTTTGGTAAATTATACATATAGAAACGTGACTAATTATACAAGCTCTTGAAGTCAATCCACGTAATTAATGTATAATATTAGTCGCGAGTGGTAATTAGACAAACTATAGTTATGATGAGTATTAAATAGTATAAGTTTGCTTTGTTGCGTAATTTTTTCAAAAAATAATGTATATATGACTAATGCAAACACTACTAATACACTCTACTTAGTATTATTTTGAAAAGAAATACCATCAATATGTAAAATTTGAAATTATTTTGATAAGCTCGTTGAAAATTGGTAAGGCGAAGTGCAAGTATTGTCTTCAATCTTTTGCTTATACTTCCTCTAATGGAACAACATGATTGAATTAACATTTAACAAGGTGCCACATGTATAAACCTATCATTGGAAGTGCTTCTCAACATAAGATAAATTTCCCATTTAAGGAGCTCAATGTTGGAAATTTTATCAAGAAATAGTTAATAGGGTTTTAGTTGGGAACTTAAGATGATAATTGTGGATGAATTACCTTTTAGCTTCGTAGAAAAAAAAGGTTTCAAAATATTTATGAATCAAGTCGAATCTCTATTTCGACTTCCTTTCTGCAAAAAATAATAACAGGGATTGTTACAAACTTTCTGGTGAACTAAGACACAATCTGAAGAAGTCCTTTAAAGAAGTACAACCAAAGATTTGCCTTGCCAATCGATGCAAAGAATTTATTAGCTAAATATGATGAATACTAGTACAGTACTCCACCGGTCTTTAAATTTTAACGGTGTTTAATTTTTATTTCATTTTTTATTTAATGAAAATTTATGGATTAAAGTATTCATAATTATGACCTAGTTTCTTCACAAGATAAAGGCTTAGAGAACTTTTGCCTTGTTCAACATAAATTGTGTAGTATTTAATTTGCAAAATATAAGTTCAGAGAATAGCCTTTTCTAACATACGTTGTATAACATCCAATTCGCAAGGCATAAGTTTAGATAACATTTGTTTTGTCCAACAAACATTTTGTAGGAATAAGTTATGCTCCTTAAGGCTTAATTTTGTGAGTTCTAAAACTAAACTTGTGCTTTATAAGACATAAGTTATACAGGAACTAAGTTATGTCTCGTGGGCTATGAACTTCTTAAATTATAATATTCTGAAATTGAACTTATGCCTTACAAAATATAAGTTGTCTAGGAACTAACTAAAGCATAATTTGTGGATAATGAACTTTAAGGCATAATGTTCTGAAATTAAATCTATGTCTTACAAGGCATAATTTGTGTCTTGCGAATTTGCCTTGTCAATTTTTTGTTCCATAAAGCATAATTTATATCTTGCAAATTTTCTTTTTCTTTTGCCAAGGATATTTTTGGTTTTAGGGTTACTTAGAGAAAAATCGTTAGGTAAGGAACTATTTACTTAGATCATGCTAGTTTGCAATATTGAGAATCTTACTAGATTTTGGTGCATCCAAAAACATCCAGATACGTGTATCTCGAGATACATGAGTCAAAATTACTTGTAATTTGTTCTAGATACAGTGTGTTCAAGTGGGCTCGAATGTATCCGGGATACATACACAAATTTCACTCTCCTCCCCCGCCTTTCTCCTATCTCGCTCGCTATTCATATCTTGCTCGTATATCTGGATTTTCAGTTATATGCGGATTACATGTATAAAGTGTGTATCTATTGTAATTTGCATGTATTTGACTTGCAATCTGATATGAAATATTAAATAGTGAGATTAAATGTAATTATGTGAAACTATAGGGAGAATTAGCAAGTAATTTAATAGTTTCTCTTATATTTATTACTTAAAGTGCTAAAGATAAAGATTAAGAAAGATGATGTCAAAATAGGGTATTTGTGCAAATTGTAGTTTTGGGATAGCCCAATTTGGTCCAAACCGATCCTTATTTGGGGATCTCATAGTAGGTCAAGCAACAAAGGACCAACATATCCGAATAGCAATTTTCTTCTTCCTCCTAAAAATAATTTTATTGTTTCTCCATTGTTAGGATTCCTTGCAATTTTCTTAATCAGTTTGAAGTTTTGATTCTCCTGTTGGAACTGAAGTGAAGTTTTATGACCCACGGAAGGGTTTGTGGAAGAAGATCAATTTTTCTTTTCAATGGATCCCAAATATGCAGGAGAAACTTTGAAGTAATTGCTCTTTTGAGTTTTTTTCAACTTCTTTGTATTGTTCTGTTTCTGTGCAGTATGTTTTTTTTTTAAAGTTTTGTATGTGAGTTTTAGTTTTTCTTTTTATATTTCTGGTGTAGGCATCTAGAGAAAGAAAGTGAACTACTCTTGAATGCCCATAAAGCAATGTCAGATGAATTGCACAGGCTTCAGGTATTTAGCTCTTTACGCTTGTTTATCAGACAGATGGGACTTGCTCCCTGAATCATTAAGTTTCATTAGTTGGTATGTAATTGAACGGAAATATACTGGTGATAGACAACATTCAGTTCACGCTTCAATCTGCTGACTTGGCAACAAATTTGCACAGCCCATAAGCAATTACTGTACAATCTTGCAAGAAAGAGTATCACCTAGGTTGCAAGACAATAGAATCTCTTAGGTATTTCCAAGTAAAATTGTTAAGACATCGAGATATGAGACTATAGTTACATATCCTAGGTTGCATTTAGATGTATAGAATGGAGATAAAAGTGGTTTGTGTGATTCATGTGCACCATGTTATTCGCTGTAGAATGGTTGTTACTATAGTGGTGTTATTGGTGATACTGTGGGTTTAGTTAAGTTGAAGAATTCCGCTGCCCATAGGAAGATGCTCTTAAAGACCATAGGGTTCTTTTTGCTATAGAAATGGTTATTTTTTCTGTTCACTCTACACTACGGTCAGGGCAGCTTATGTTAGCTGGTTTCAGAGGCCCTATTAACTCTACAATGGTAGAAAAATGTGGTATCTTCTGGATGGGAATTACAGCAGGAGCAAGTAAGCAAGTATTAGAGCTTCTACTTTAAGTTACAATTTAACTATAAAATGTCTATTTTACTCTTAATGAAATGATTTACCGCCACACAAATTTCTATCACTCATTTTGGACCACTAGTTGTAAAAGTCTTCATTTCTTTCTTAAAGTTTGTGCCGAGTCAAACTACCCCACATAAAATGGGATAGATTACTTTTGGCATCCAAGGGTGTAGCCTAGTGGTCAATAAAGTGGGTGAGAGCTATGAGGTCTCATGTTGGAATCCCAGCGAAGACAAAAACACTAGGTGATTCTTTCCATCTGTCCTAGCCTTGGTTAACAGGGTTACCTAGTGCCTTGCTTGTGGGAGGTGGAAGGTATCCCGTGGAACTAGTCGAGCATGGTCATCCAAACAAAATAAAGAATAATAATTAGTACTTTTTAGATAAGTTTGTACCTATATAAGAATGATATTGAAAACTAATACATAACCTTCTAGTTCTGAATCTTAGATTCACTCTATGCATGTTGTGAAGCCCATTTGATCTTTTCATCAAGACGAGTGAAAGTGGGCCATATAAAGGCTGGTTTATGTCTAACAAAATTGTGGTTTAGGCTCGATCTTTAAGATACTCTTGCATTTACATGAATCATAGTTCGGGAAACCAGCTTGTGGAGATTAGGATAACAACATTTTGACTAGGCCATTGGGAGACCGATCCATTAGTCATCGAATAATTGTTTAACTTGCTCTTGAGATGGCATTTGTGTGATGAGATATTTTGATTTTCAAATGAAAAGCAAACAACAGATTGTTTTGTTTACGGTGAATTTGGTTTGTATTTGAGTAGTAAATGGCCAAAAACATCCTTTAACTATACCTTTAACTTAAATTACATCCTTATATTATTATTGTGAACAAAAAACATCGCTGATAAGAGATTTTGTCCTCTCACCGTCTTCGTAAACATAGAGGAAACATTTTCTTTGCTAGAAGGATTTGTGAATGAATTTGAAATGTCATTTGTGGAGCTTTTTTTTTCCTACGTCTATTAGAGAAGTCATTTTCTTCATATTTTAAGAACTTGTTTTCTTAGATAAAATATCTTTCAAAAATTTTGGCAAATACACTAGGAGTTCATATCTTTTAAGTATCACATAATTTTTTTTATGTCCAAAAGACATATGTGCAAGGCTTGCATCTGAATTTTGTGTTCAAAATTCCCATTTAAATAGCTGGGAGTAAAGGAAATTTGGTGAAAGCTGTTGGAGAAGTAACCTACCAATTAGAAAATGAGAAAATAAAGTAATCTGGGAGTAGCATTGGATCAATATGATTCTTGATAGGAAAGCTAACAACATAATTAACAATCTCAGTTAAAAAAAAATAAAAAGGGGGGGGGGGGGGACAAAATAAAGCTGAACAAGTCCCAAGTTATAAATCTTTAGGCCTTAATTAGTATCCCTACAATAATTCTAGCCATGGAATACCCTTTAATGTAATAACTAGTTTACTACTTGGTAGAGGAGATCAGTGAGTGGGCAAAATTGTTGTATTTATCAGGAAGTCATGTGCTTCTAGTTAAAGTGGTTAGTTTCTTGACAGAAAGTTAACGGAAGGATGTAACTTGCAACTTTTTGGATAGTTGAAGGATGTTTTTTGTTCAATGTAATGGCACAAGGATGTAGTTTGAGTTTGAGGTATAGTTGAGGGATGTTTTTAGCCATTTACTCTTTGTATTTAGATGTACTTAATTAAGTAGAAAACAAAGCTTTATCTAGAATGCCACTGATATTGGAGGTCCTGCAAGATGACTATCGTGTATGTAGTAGAACATCAGGGTAGACCAATGTTGCATCAGCATTCAAACTGACATTATGGCTGCTGATATTGTGACTACTTTGAGACGAACTCATTATTATTAGCTGCTTGTAAATTTTTCTTAGTTTTGATTTCTTCCATTTGCCTTTCAATGTAAAAAATCAGTTCTGTATTTTCTACTTGTAGGTTGAGGAAGAAATGATGATGCGCAAGTTACATGAACTTATTTCAGCTCACAATCTAAGTAAAAAGGTATATTCACACTTTTAGAATATAGCTTTGTGATCAAGTACTTGTTATCTTAGTTCCTATAACTGCTCATGCGGACTTGCTAAAGTTGTTTCAATGTGAGGACCGTCTCAACCCCAAGTATTTGGGTCTTTGAGCTTTTTCAATAAATGAAATACTTTTATATTTTGTATTCCTGGCTCTTCCTTTCCATTGTGTTCAAAATTCTGCTGTTCTCTTCCTTTTGTGTCTTCTTTACGGAACACGCCATCTGAAGGAATGACACAACTGGTAAGATTATTTTCTGAAACTCAGTGCAGTTATTGGGTAGTACAACTTTGACTTACAATGGACAGAGCCTCCTATCCTTTTTTTCCCCTTCTCCTTTGTCACACATTATCTGTTACTCGAATCCTGGTTCAATGCTTTGGAAAATTTTAGACGCGTGAGTTAAATATTTAGTGTATATCGAAATGGTATTTGGTAGTTTTCATTTAGAACCCAAAAGGAAAGAGGCATGGTGGAAAATTGAGTGGAGCCATTTGGTAGCTGGAATAAGAAATAAATTATCTATGTATTAATTTCTGTATAACTTATACGATGTTTGGTAGGTAAATAGGAGATAATTAATTCATGTATAAAATTAATACGATGTTTGGTTGACAATTTAGGAACCCCGCATAAGTTATGAGGAATCTGTGTATTATTTTATGCAGGATAGAAAGGTGAAATAGCTATTCCTGCACAAAATAATACAGAAATTTACTCGTAACCAATCCCTACATTACTAATACTTGCACAACTCCAACCGGCTACCAAACGTTCATTACTGTGCTGATTTCAAACCAAGCTAAAAATTGGAAACCAAAAAGTTATTTGCAAAAATGTTCTACCGACGGGCATAGAGATCTCTAACACAATATGTCAAAACATTGAAGAACCTGTAGTTAAGACAATCTGTGCTGAGAAGATTATAGATGGATATTCTTGATAAAAGAGTAATAGCTGAAAAGAGAACTATGCATTTGAAACCTTGCAGCTGTTCTGCGATTCACAGATTAGTTTTTACCTTAATATCCAGCTGCTCTTTTCTCTCATCGCTTTAGTCTGAGGTTCTAACACACCAACTTACCCTCATCTTTTGCAGAAAGGCTTAAATGATAATGCTGAGAAAAGGCAGAATGACCAGGAAGGAGCACCGGTCGACATGACTAATGGTGCTGATGAAAGGCAGAATGACCTGGAAGGAGCTGCCATTGACATGACTAAAGGTGATCACTAATGTATAAGTGAGATAGATATCCGATCCCTAGGCTATCTGTATCCATTGTTAGCCTTACACTTTAAGTATGCCATTTTTGGTCTCACATTGCCGATGCTTTTAGATTGCTTCTCACATAGATCTCTCAGCTACGTAGAAAGTGATACATATGTCTTGATAGTATAGATGATGCAAGCTGTTTCTCATGTCTGTCCAGATTTATTCTTGCTTAGTAATTTAATCAACAGAGCTATATTGCAACATCCAGTCCTGCATCTGACACAAGGGATGTTTGGGCAACCCTTCACTCCACGAACTTTTGTGGTTGAGGGTTGGTGTGTTTGTGACAGGATGAAATTTGAACTGTTAAGCTGAAGGATTTTCAGACGTCAAACCTCCGACCCTCCAAAAAAATAAGTGAGAACTTGCTTAGATTTTTTCTGGAATTTGGCTCCTTCTGTGTTTACAAATCTATCCATGCATTAGAAGTGAAGGTTGTAAGGCCTTTGTTTAAAAAGATCATTTGTAAAAACAAAAAACTTGTTCCGAGTCCCTGTGAATGCACACTCGTGGCTTCCTGTGCAAGTTGCAAGCACTTGCATATTTACCTAGTTAGGTACTGCGGGTCTGTTCTGTTTGGGATTGAAAAGAAGAGAACCAAAGCCAATAAATTGTTGGTTCATCACAAGTTGTGTCCTTTCCTTTTAAAAGGGGATCAGGATATGTAAACTGCACCAGATAAGTTCCGTATGGTAAGTCCAACCGAGAAACCCATGGAGGTGGTATCAAATTCAAGACTTCCATTCTCAGATTCTCTACTCAACCAACTCGGCCACCACATGAGATTGACTATAGTTTAATTGAATGATATTGGAGGAACTAGAAAAAGGAAGTGAAACCCTTGTATACTATATATCAAAGAACTTATGAATTAACCAGTAGGTTTAGAGATGGCAATGGGGTAGGGCGGATGCAGGGTTAAGGCTCTGTGGGGCGGGTGGGTTGAAGTGGATTTTTTAAAAATTAATGAGGGGCGGGCGAGTAGATGTTATTTCACGTGGATTCTAATTTAATTTTAACTTTTTACATGTTATAAAGTGATAGAACATTATTTGTTAAGATAATTTCATAAAGCTACTAAAATATTCAAAATAGTAAATAAAATGGTTCAACAAAAAATAATACAATTTCTTGCATGTTTTTAAAATGTCCTATAAAAAGTAAAGTCAAGTCACTATCTTATTAAATTAATATAACTTAATGAAAAATGAATTTATTTTTATGAATTTTAAATTTAATATCAAACATAACTAGAAAAAGAAAATATTAAAAAATTATGTGGGGCGGGTTGAATATGAAATGTGTTGCTATGCGGATTAAAATTTTTGGAGGTTAAGCTCAATTCTCACCGCCCTATTGCCATGCCTAAGTAGGTTGCAAAAGTTCATCCTAGAATTGAATGATCACAAAGAATGGAATCAATAGATCAAAGTGAACTTGGTAGTCTTGAGACCATGGTTTTTTACCATGTTGCTTGCACTCTTTAGCAATACTCGGAAGTGTGTCAGATCCTCCAAAGTAGTGCATTTTGTAAGAATTCATTCTCACATCTTCATTAGCACATGGCGTTTAGCTACTATTCAAAGAGATGAGAAAGGGCAAAGTAGAGAGGTAAACTACAAGTACAAAATATTGTGCAACATGAAAATGGAAGTCACTAATCAAAGAGTTTCTAGTGCCCATTGGCTCATTTAAACTCCTAATTCCTACAAATCTATACTAGAGGTAACACCAAAACAAATTTTCAACATTTTGATTCCAATTCTCTTCATGACAGCATCTTCATTCCATTCAATTTGCATTCCAAAGTTCCATTCTCTGCTTGTCATCATGCAAGAATGAATCGGCAATGGAGATAGCCTGCAATAACATACCAAAAATGTTATTATAGCTCATTTCAAGTTCATTACAACACTGCTTATATAATTTTTCTTAATGCTACTATTCACTTCATCAGAGTCCATAATTGAAGACATCAAGATTCAAAAACCAAACAAACAAATTGAAACGGAGGGGGGAGCAACTTTCAAATTCTAGAAAGTGCTTACTTGGATCAGAGTTAATTAGCATAGCTGTGCCTCCAAATCCACAAGTACCACCGTTGCCTTTTGTTTTCTGCCAGTAACTATTGAAAGCATAAGAAGCATGAGCCACAACAGTGTCAGGGTAAAAACAACTTCCACTAGGACTTATAGCTTCACAATCAGCATCTCCTTCACCACATGCATAATCTAATGCCTCTTGCAATGTCTCTGGTGGTACACTAGGCTTAGCTACACACCACAGTCCAGTACTACCATGACCTCCTGTTACGGGTGCACCTACTGGACCCTCACCCCACCCCCCTCCATGAGATGGCATACAAGGTGGCAAATGAGGTCCATAAGAAGGGCTAATAGGATTGAACAATGGAGGAGCCATTTCAGGAGGTGAAATGTTTCCAATTAATGGAGGAAGTGGACTGTTAGCAGCAAATGCTGGTGATGGCAGATTTGGATTTGGGGCTAATGGGGTTGGTCTTGTAGGAAAATTACTGTATTTTGAGTCAAAAGTTGAGAGCTTTCTACTTAAGAATCTTCCCTGTTTAGGTTTCTCACTAATCAAGAAAATCTTATCTAGGCTAAAATTTCCCAACTTTTTCATAGACCCTATATGACTATTCATCAAAGATTCAATCTTTACATCCAAATATCCCAAGTTCACTACATAGGGTGCATTGACATGTTGAAAGAAATCAAGAAGAGGTTTAATATACTCTTGAGCTAAATCAAGATTGTACAAACCAGAATCTTGGTCCAAACAGTTGGAAGAAAAAGAAGTGGACACTTTGATTTCAGTATGCAAACCCCATCTTGTAAGTGAATAGTAAATGTTTTTAGCTGATGGCAAGATTAACCTCATTCTGTTTTCTTGATATTTTTTGCACAAAAGAGTATGACCAACAAGAATAGTAGTGATATTTGTAGCTGGATAGTGAGCTAAAACATTGCTTCTTAACCAATTTTCAGCTTCAACAACACTAGTGGACACTCCATAAAGATCTTGAATAGGCAAAGAAACTGCTCTAGTAGTAATGTCAGTTCTTGGAAAAGTCACAAGAGTTGAGAGTTCTACTGATTCATGACCAACTGCAGCTGCAAAATTATAATTTTTTTAATAGAAACTTAAAAACTCAAAACAATTCCATAAAGAAACAAACATGTAAAAAAACCAAGATTAACTTACCATTTAGAGCAAAATAAATAAAGAAAAGATGGGAAAAACACCAGGGTTTGAACATTTTGTTTTGAAGAGGAGGATGAGGGAAATGAGGTTAGGTTATTGTGTTAGAATTTAGATGATATTTTGAGAGTGCATTTACTTGATTTTTGTGTAAAAAAGCTGAAGAGGCAAAAAAGGTGTGAAGGGGTTGTAAAGCAAGGTACTGGTTCCTCATCAATGCAATAAATAAAATAGTGATTTTGTTTTATCATTTGTAAAGATAAATTATGATGTAGTGTCTGTTTAACAATAAATTATCTTCATTTTTCAAATTATAAAAATAAATCTCAACAACAATTACAATAGTTTAATTATTTTTTAAGTCAATTAGCACTCTTTGAAATGTTTCATAAATTTGTAGAAATTTTAAATTTAATAACAATTAATTAATATTACGAAAAAAATTACTAATAGTTTTGTTAATATAAATATTTATTGTCATAAAAAAAATATTTATAGTAGTGAGAGGAAGTATCTGCTGAGAGGTACAAGTTTGACAGTATTTTGTCCTTTCGCTAATTGTCTTTTAGCTCTGTTTGGAATCTGTGCTTGAAATGCAGTACCGAAGTTCTTGGATACTAAAAGAAAAATACTCCCTCCATTCCATTTTTAAATAATGTTTAGGTGGGATTTTTTTCTCCAAACAAAATTTTAATTTTATTTCATAGTTTTGTATTATAATTTTATTTTATGGTTTTAAATTATAATTTTATATTGCAGGGTCAAATGGGCACATAGAAGAACAAACAAGATAATGTACTTCCACAAATAATGTTGGTGAAGTATTGATATATTACCTCTGTTTCAAGGAGGTAAAGAATGGAGGTTGTTGTTTATATATTAAAAACATTAACATAATTAAATATTAAATTTGATAGTTTTTTAGTTATTTTATATAAAATTCAAACATGTGTGTTTATTTAATCACTTTATATAAAATTTAGTATATCAAATGATGTTTGATTATTATTTTACAATTTTACATAAATTAAATAGGTATAAAATTATGAATTAATATATATATATATATATCATTTTATAGGAGAAAAAAATAAAAATAATTATATCTTACCTAATGTACATTGATAAGTCTAATCAGCCATTAAACGATTTTACAAAATTCAACATATTAAATATAACTCAATAACATTAATCATATACTTCCTTTGTTTAAAAAAGGATAACTTAATTTGACTTAGAAAGGAGTTTAAGAAAGAAGATTTTTTAATCTTGTGGTTCTAAATTAAAGTTATGTCGAGAGTACCAAAATGTCCTTTAATCTTGTTGTCTTAAACATGTCATATGGAAAATTAAAGTTAAATTGTTACCAAAAAATGAAATGGGTCATTCTTTTTTAAATAAACAAAAAAATAAATAGGGTTCACTCTTTTTTAAACAAAGAGAGTAAATTATTTAAATAAATCAAAAATATACATTTGAAAATATGATTCTTCTTAATAAATAAGATTTTGGAATGATAACAAAAAATACTCTTCAAATTAGGACCTGAAAAGAACATTGTGTGTAATTTTTGAAACAAATTAACTATATTATTTATAAGAAAATGGAGGGAGTAACTAGTAATCCCTCTGGTATAATAATGTATTGTTATATTTTATATTGAAATATATATAACATAATACAATATTCTAGGTTGCATAATTTTGGAAATAACATTTGTATGGCTATAATTTTTTAAAACTTTTAGTTTAAAAATGTTACAATATTATAGTGACACAGAGTCCCAAAAGAGAGAGATAACAATCAAAGAAGTTAGTTTTGTTCAGATAGCTCTGATTCTTTCTGCTCTGCTTTTCTGGTGCAACAGTCAAAGACCTTCAGTGGGACCCACATTAATTTTTCATGTAAAAATTTGAAATTAATTAAGTTTTCATTTTCAAAATGAAAGAAAAATATTTGAATATTGTAAAAATCAAATTTCAAGTTAAATTTTGAAAATTTATGACCAAAACTATCTTACCCTATGAATTTGGTATTATATTCTCAGTTTGTATTAAATTTTTTGGTCCTGAACACAATCTTGAGTAATGTTTTTCAATAGAATATAATATATTTTGTACAGTAATAATGATAATTTTTTATTCAAACGCTATTTTGAAAGTATAATTTTATGATAAATCCATTTTGGGATGCTAAATAGTTAGACATGATTTTAAAGTTCTTGTCTAAATATGCATTTTAGATATCAAAACTTATTCTTTATCTTTTTTTTCCCTCGTAATCATAAGAAATTTATAATTTATAAAAGTTATTAAATTTTTCTTAATTATAATATATAAACAATGTAGTAAAAAAAATTATACTTTTATGAGAAAAGGATTTTGGGAAGATAAATAGGCAACTAGACATATTTAAAAGTTTGTCTAAATATGCATGCTAGATATCAAAACTTATGGAGTAATTATTTTTTTCCTAGTAATCATAAAACTTTTATAATTTATGAAAATTATTAAAATTTTCTTACTTATTTCTACTATAATAGAAAAAGTGTGTTCGCAGTTTATAATGCGAATAAATTTCAATTTGAGGATATCTTTAACTTTTTAAGCATTTGATAGATGTGTCTTTTATTTTAAAATTAAATTTGTGGGGTCCATCCCCATGTACCAAACTTTGAATAACTTTGTGCCAATTTCAAAGTTTGATAGAGTTGGTAATCTATGAAGAAGAAAAAATTGTTTTCAGCCAATTTCGAAGTTTGGCAGAGTAGGTAAGCTATGAAGAAGAAAAAACTGTTTTTCTTCTGTAGCACATTTGGAGAGTAGTGTATTTGTTCTCTATAAAAGGGAGGACAATTCTTCATTCTAAATACACCAAAAAGAATTACAAAGGAGAGAAAAGAAGAGTGAGGCATCACAGCGGAAAATAATCTGTGAGGAAAAATAGAGTGTGAGCGATATTGTAGTGAGGTGGAAAAATCAAAAGAGTGTTATTTCTTTTGAATGTGTAGTGGTTTTTGGAGTTTTACTTAGACATACAAGTGTAAAATCCTTACTATAGTGATATTCGTTGCTCCTCTCGGGTCGTGGTTTTTCCCTTATTTAGGAGGGTTTCCACGTAAAATCTTGATGTCATTATTTCTCTTTTATTCTCGTTGATTAACCGCATTGTTATATTCCACATTTATTGCCTTTATTACCGCAAATATTATTTCTGTTACGGATTTATACTCAACAATTGGTATCAGAGCACAGGTTCTGTTCATTTACAGAAATATTTTTTGCAGGTTATTTTACTATACTCAATAAAAAAAATGTCTGGAGTAAAGTACGAGGTAGCAAAATTCAACAATGATAGCGGTTTCTCAATGTGGCAGAAAAGGATGAAAGACTTGCTCATCCAATAGGGTTTGCATAAGGCACTAGGCGTCAAATCCAAAAAGCCCGAATCCATGAAACTTGAGGATTGAGAAGAAATGAATGAAAAGGCTGCTAGTGCAATCAGATTGCACTTAACAGATGATGTAGTTAATAACATCATCGATGAAGAGAGTGTATGTGGCATTTGGACAAAGTTAAAAAATCTATACATGTCCAAAACGCTGACAAATAAATTATACCTAAAGAAGCAGTAATATGCGCTACATATGGGTGAAGGTACAAATTTTTTGTCTCATTTAAATGTACTTAATGGACTAATCACGCAGCTAGAAAACCTCGGAGTAAAGATCGAGGATGAAGATAAAGCCATAGTGCTCCTAAATTCGTTGCCATCTTCCTACGATACTTTAGCAACAACCATTTTACATGGTCTATTGAGTTAAAGGATCTCACATCAGCCCTTTTGCTTAATGAGAAGATGAGAAAAATGCCTGAAAATCACGGACACGCTCTCATCACGGAAAGTAAAGGCAGAAGTTACCAAAGGAGCTCAAGTAACTATGGTAGATCCGGAGCTCGTGGAAAGTCCAAGGTTCGATCAAAATCTAAAGCCAGAAATTGCTACAATTGCGATTAACCAGGACACTTCAAAAGAGATTGTCCAAATCTAAAAAAGGGCAAAAGGGAAAGCAGCGGCCAGAAGAATGATGACAACACAGTTGTCATGGTGCAAAACAATGATGATGTTGTTCTCCTCATAAATGAGGAAGAAGAATGCATGCACTTGGCAGGTATAGAGTCGAAATAGGTGGTCGACACAACAGCAGCTTATCATACCACACCGGTAAGAGATCATTTTTGCAGATATGTAGCCGGTGATTATGACAATGTGAAAATGGGTAACACAAGTTACTCAAAGATTGCGGGGATCGGAGACATTTGCTTAAAAACAAATGTTGAATGCACATTAGTGTTGAAAGATGTGCGCCACGTACCTGATTTGCGGATGAACTTGATCTCGGGAATTGTTTTGGACCAAGATGGATATGAGAACTACTTTGCAAATAAAAAATGGAGACTCACTAAAGGGGCATTGGTGATTGCAAAAGGAGTTGCTCGTGGCACGTTATACAAGACAAATGCAGAAATATGCCAAGGTGAATTAAATGCGGCTCACGAAGAAAATTCTGCAGATTTATGGCATAATGGTCATATGAGCGAGAAAGGATTGCAAATTCTTTCCAAAAAGTCACTCATCTCTTTTGCCAAAGGTACAACAATAAAATCGTGTAACTACTGCTTATTTGGTAAACAACATTGTCTCATTTAAGACATCATCTGAAAGAAAGTCGAATATACTTGATTTGGTATATTCTGATGTTTGTGGTCCAATAGAGATAGAACCGATAGGAGGTAATAAATACTTTGTTACCTATATTGATGACGCTTCTCAAAAATTGTGGGTTTATATCTTGAGAACCAAAGATCAGGTGTTTCAAGTATTTCAAAAGTTTCATACTCTGATAGAAAGAGAGACAGGTCGAAAGCTAAAACGTCTCTGAACCGACAATGGAGGTGAGTACACTTCAAGAGAATTTGAAGAGTACTGTTCAAACCATGGAATCAGACATGAAAAGACAGTTCCTGGAACCCTACAACACAATGGTGTAGCTGAGAGAATGAATCGCACCATTGTTGAGAAAGTGAGAAGCATACTCAGAATGGCTAAATTACCCAAGACATTCTGGGGTGAAGCAGTTCGGATAGCGTGTTATCTTATCCTCGTAGTCCATTAGTTCCGTTGGAGTTTGACATTCCGGAGAGAGTTTGGACCAACAGAGAGATGTCTTATCGCACCTAAAGGTGTTCGGTTGCAAAACTTTTGCACATGTACCAAAGGATCAAAGAACCAAGGTAAATGATAAATCAATTCCTTGCATATTCATTGTATATGGAGATGAAGAGTTCAGGTACATACTATGGGATCTTGTAAAGAAGAAGGTCATCAAAAGTAGAGATGTAATCTTTCGAGAAAGTGAAGTTAGAACTGCTGATGATTTATCCGAGAAGGCCAAGAAAAAGAATGGTATAGTCCCTAATATTGTTACCAGTTTTTCTTCTTCTAACCATCTCATAAGTGCAGAAAGTGCGATTGATGAACTTGCTGAGCATGAAGAGCAACCTGATAAGATTGTTGAGAAGGGGGAGCAACTTGGTGATAATACCGAGCAAATGGAGTACCCAGAAGAAGAAGAACAATCTCAACCTCTTAGGAGATCAGAAAGACAAATGGTAAAATCAACAAAATACCCTTCCTCAGAATATGTCCTTATCAATGATGAAGGTGAGCCAGAAAGTTTTAAGGAGGTGTTGTCTCATCCAGAAAAGAGCCAATGGATGAAAGCCATACACGAAGAGATGTGATCTCTACAGAAAAATGGCACATACCAGCTAGTTGAACTTCCAAAAGGAAAAAGACCACTTTAGTGCAAGTGGGTCTTTAAACTCAAGAAAGATGGAAATGGCAAGTTGGTGAGGTACAAAGCTCGATCGGTTGTAA